TGAACATCGCCACTGCCTATATAAGCGCGCCTGTCGTCGCTCAGAGACTCAGAGAGAGTCGAATAGTCAAGTGAATCAGATAAATACGCGGGCAAACAAATAAATCGTAGAGTGAAATAAATAGTGAATTGCTATATAAATAAATTCTTGTGCCTTATAAATAAGTGAACTGGACTAAGTTTTGTTGCAGTATCTACTTTTATAAATAGCTATAGTGCTTCAAATATGGATAAATTTTTGCTGAAATCACGAGCAGATGACGAAGAACCCAGCACAAGCTCCAGCATAAGTGCTGCAAAAAGAGCAAAAAAGGTGCTGAAAAGGAAGTACAATCAAGACTACCTTCGATATGGTTTCACTTGGTGTGGCGACGAAGCGGCTCCAAAGCCTGAATGCGTCATTTGCGGTGAACAGTTGTCAAATGAAGCAATGGTACCCAGCAAACTAAACCGTCATTTGATCACAAATCATCCCAGTTGCGTCAAAAAAGACATTCAATTTTTCCAACGGCGCTTGGATCAAAATAAGAAACAAAAGCAGTTTATGAAATCGGCGGTTACGGTTTCTGAAAAGGCATTAGAAGCAAGCTACCTTGTTGCAAAATTAATTGCACAACAAAAAAAACCGCACACTATCGGTGAAACGCTTATTAAACCAGCATGCATGGAAATTGTTAGACTTATGCTTGGGCCAAACGAAGTTAAGGACGTGAGTAAAGTTTCTTTGTCGGCCGATACTGTTAAAAGACGTATCCAAGATATGTCAAGTGATATTTTGGGAACACTAATTAAAAAAATCATTTCGGCTGGAATTTTTGCGCTTCAAATCGACGAATCAACCGATATTAAAAATAAAGCACAACTGATGGCTATTGTACGTTTCGTTGACGAGGACTCTATTAAAGAACATTATTTATTTTGTAAGGAGGTTCCAGAGAGAACTACCGGTGAACAAATTTTCCAAGTAACTGATAATTTTTTTAAAATACATAATATTCAGTGGACCAATTGCGTTGCTATTTGTACAGATGGTGCTGCTGCAATGATGGGCAGTAAGAAAGGTTTTGTATCTTGTGTAAAACAAAAAAATCCGTCAATACAAATTACACATTGCTGCATACATCGAGAAGCATTGATGGTCAAAAATTTGCCCGAACAGCTTTCGATCACAATGAATGAATGTATTAAGATCATAAACATAATTAAATCGAGAGCCTTAAATTCGCGAATCTTTGGAATACTCTGTGAAGAAATGGGAAGCGAACATGAATCCTTACTGTTTTATACAGAAGTTCGTTGGTTATCCCGGGGAAAAGTTTTAGCTCGACTGTTTGAACTTCGCTACGAAGTGCGTGAGTTTCTTTCAAGTCAAGATATGTACGATCTATGCCAGCACCTTCATGATGAATACTGGATAGCCAAACTTGCATACATGGCGGATATATTCGAACATCTGAATGAACTTAATAAAAAAATGCAAGGACGGAATGAAAATATATTGACGTGCTCCGATAAATTACAAGGGTTCAAAAAGAAACTTGAACTTTGGCAGGAACAGTTGCAAAAAGGATGTCTAGAAATGTATCACAGGACCAACCACAGTACGATCGAAAACAAGCAGTTGATTGTGGATTTGGCCCAACAACATTTAAGTATGCTTCAACAAAAATTTGAATACTATTTCCATTCTATCAACACGGAACAATACAATTGGATTCGAAATCCTTTCGCAACCAATGCAATAAGTTCCACGGAAGCACTGCCATTGCAAACTCGAGAGGAGTTCACAGAATTAAGTAATGATATGACCCTAAAACTTAAATTCGACGAAGTTCCGTTAGATGTTTTCTGGATTTCCATCAAGACAGAATATCCACGCATCACCGACAAGGCCATCTTCACACTACTTCCGTTTTCCACAACATATTTATGTGAGCAAAGTTTTTCAACGCTTGTATTAATTAAAAATTGAGCCGAATATAAAACTTTTGTGTTCAACGAAGCAAGCGCAGGTATCACATTAATCAGTCATCATCATGTCAAAATATTTATTACTATTGACGTGTCAACAGAAGTAAATTTAGTATACCTACCTGTCCTACCTAGTATTTAGTATAGTTCTCATGTATGTACCTATTTGTATTTTTCATTCTATCTGAATAATAAAAAAAAATAAAAAAAAAATATGTATTATGTCCTGAGTGAAAATTTTGATGCCCCAAATCTGAAAGGGGCTTCTTCACATTTTAAAACAATAAAAAAAACTAAGGTAGTTTGGACATCCATAAATAATTAGTATACATGGAGTGAACTGACCCCCGACCTAGCTACGCCACTGCTATAAATATATTTTAGATTTTGGTGTGCCACGAAATTCTAGGGAGCAGTTTGGTGTGCCTCAGATGAGGAAAGGTTGCGGAGCACTGCTGTATAGTATATGTTATGCATTATTAAAAAACATATTTTAACGATGAACAAGTAATAATTTTTTATTTATTCGTAATATTAGTTAAGTAATAAAATTTTATAAATGGCTAGGTACCAATACTTAAATGTTTATTAAACTGTTCATAAAAATTACTTTACTTAAAAAAATAGTTTTGATTAAAAGAAATTTGACTAGTAGATATACAAAATTTTGTTTATTTCCAAGGTAAAATTTTTAGTATTACTTTTTGTAAGTTAATTAAATACAATTAGTTTCATTTCCACATGGCTGGTTCTAAAACAATGACGTAAAAATTTATTTAATAATTACTATTATCTTATGACTTATGAAAAGCGATATAATTGAATACACATTGAATAAGAATATAAATAAAATTAAAAATATCTATAATTTTTCAACACTCACATGAATATTATCTATTGTACTTACGCACGAAAAAGTAGGTCATTGTGTTCTACTGAACGTATATAATTTCATATCCATTCTAGAAAGGACAGTGTACGGATATGAACATCACCACAGTTCAATTTGGTGACCAGGCTACAATTATTTTTAAAATTTTTAAATGAGTGACAACTCTGTCAAACTAATTGTCAGTATATTTTATAGTTATTGAGACTAAATATAATTAAAAATGAGTGATTCTTGTGAAGCATAGACAAATAATATCATTCCACTAGATATTCGTCTATATTTACAAATAAATCGTAAATTTTAATAAAATCCAAAATCGAAACCCCCATTTTAATGATCAATATTAAAAAAAGAACATTGTTTGCCTCGTTAGCAAAAGGTCCGGGGGTTTCGAATCCAGGATTAAAACTAATTAATTAAAATCTTTCTTTTATTTATTTTATTTTTTAAATTGTTAACAGTAACAAATTTAGTGGTCGGCCATAATAACGCTACAAACGACAGAGTCATACATTGTGGAAACTGGAAAAAAACAATTAACCTGTTTTGATTTACAGTATCAGCAATTTCACCAGTAGCACCATCTAGTGTTTGGAGTCAGTACCATAAGAAAAGTCAGTTGTCGTTTGTGACCTTGGTCTTTTACGTGGAACCTCTTATGTACAGTGTTGCCGCAACCAAATATGTTGTACCAAACAAATTTGCTATAATGTACCCAAATGTGTTCAATTCTGAATATGTACAAAATGCATACATAAATTCCTTTTGCTTTCAAAATCTAAATACAATAAAACAAATATTAGATTTTAAGTATAATATAATAAAATTGCTTTTAATAAGATCATTTAGAACAGTGTGTCCAATTAAGTCGGAACCATATGTGAAACTTTTTTATTCTTATTTTTATGAAAAATTAATTCTTTATAAGAGTTATGCAATGCAACCATCAGATATCATTTTTTTAACCTGTATACAAGGTTTGTCAAAAAATATGAATATGAAGAGTAAAGTACCTTTATTTCTGACACACCTCGTATATGACTAATAAAATTTAATAATATGATGAGTATATTTTAAGTTTTAGACCATGCTCCACTTTTTATAAAGAATAACTTTTTTCCTACTATTAATAATAAAAATGTTTCTCATATGCATATACTATCGACGGTCTACGTAAGTTGGCCGATATTCTTTGTTGTTTTATGGCTTTTTTTCTGTCCCGTAAAACAATAAAATCAACTAACTATACCTTTAATTTGAATAGCTTAATTTAAATATAAAATATCAATTTGAAATAAGGGTCTTGTTTTTAAATATTCATAATGTTTGAACATAGAAAATTCATAATTCCAAAATTTACCCAATTTAAAATTATCTGTCCTAAAATGTACTTGTGTACCATGAGCGAGAAAATGTACCCAATTGGGTACATTTGTATCCAAGCGACAACGCTGACTATGTGGTTTGTGGCCGCTTGGCTTACTCGCGTATCGAGGACAACACTAATGATTTGTAATTGCTGTTTTGGGAGGTGTTTCTCTGAATGCGTCTTGTTTGTTTTCATTTACGCCGTGACTAGCAGTACATCGGATGTACACGAAATATTTGTATATCGGATGTATCCCCCATTATTTGTACATCATAATTCTAACCTAACTTTATCACAGATGATGGAGTGGAAGAGTTAAGTATTTTTCTGTAGTATTTTATAAACCTTAATTAGAAGCAAATTTCATATACATGAACAAATAATAATAATGCCATGACAACAAGAAGACGAAGCAACGACTCCTTGTAGGGTGGCGGCGAAGCCGCCACCAGAAAATTTCAATCCATACCTGGCTACGCTGACCGGTATAAACACTAACGGCCTGGACACAGCTCACCTACTCTGTCAAAAGGAGACCGATGCACAAATAAAACGGGTACGCCATGCGCACTACAAAATCAGTGTACTCACTACCTAGAATGGATATGAAATATATTCGTTCAGTTGAAGGCAAAAGCATACTTTTTCGTTTTGTAATCTGTGCGGAGATAAGCTAATATCCATGTGGGTGTAGAAAAAAGTATTTTTTCTTGGCTTACATTTTTTAAATTATTTCGTGGACTATATTTATCTATAATTAATTTTTCAGCCTCCTTTCTCGACGAGCAGGTTCATCTCTGCGATTATGGTGGGTTATTTATGGGGCCAGTTAGTCATGTTGGCAATACCTGAAGATGAAGTAGCAGGAATCAATTGGAATTATATACATTGGTTAATACCATTAGCTGTAGCACTAGGTAAATATAACTTTATTATAACATACAACTAATGTATAATAAAATGATTGTAATATATTCCCTGATAACAATTATACATACTTTTTAAGAATATGCATATGCTGAGAATATACTTTATTTGCATTTAGTACATTCTCAGAATATACTAAGTATATGTTACGTGACGTTGTTTATACGTGCTATGCAGATACTGAGAATGTACTTCAAGTATATGTACAGTAGCAATAAGTATCTACTTAATTTGATAGTACGTTCTAAGTATATGCTAAGTAGTTTAAATTTAGCATATACTAGGCATATACTAGAGATACCCTAATACAGGACGTTTCATTAATATTGAATAATAAAGAATAAGTGTATATAATGAAATTCGTGAACATTTTTTAAATCTTTCCCAAAATATATACTTATTTTTATTACAAATTCTTTCTCTGGCTTTAACCAATTAATATTTTATTGTATCGATGGCTTGAGTTTCATTTGCTTGCTTACATTGGATCTTCATTGAACATAAAAAATAAAAAAATCAACAAACTTGATACATATACAAATTAAGTGTACATAACTAATGGATAAGTGTACATAACTAATGGAATATTTTAAATATTTTTGTCGAACGTAAAATATTAAAAACTGTACATGGCATTCCACTAACAAATGCATAAATGATTATTGTTAAGTGAAAGTTTAAATATATTTTGATTAATTACCATCATTTTGTAGTTTTCGTCCTCCTTCAGCTAATTTTCTAGTTCTTCCAGGTCAATTTCTGGCCTTACAGGATTCTTTTCATAGAAAGTGTGTATGTAATTCTGTAATTCTGTAACACTGCAGTTTAGATTTAATTCGCCATTAGTATTAACCGTATTAATAAATTCACAATGGCAATTATTAGGTATTTGGGATATGTGTTCTAACATCATTTGTAGGTCCTAAATCTTATTATATTTACCTGTTCCCTATTCAATAATGAAGCGATGCAATATCAATGTCTCGCAATGTCAAGCGTGACCAAAATATTTGTAGGTTATGTCATTCTTCTCTTCCATTAAAGCTGTGAATATTTTTTGGTATGAACACTCAACATTAGTGTGTTTGCTAGCGAATTATCAGATCGACATCTGGGAAAAATTCATATAGATATGTATATAAACGTGTTTTTACAAGTATTTGGTGTTAATTTTTACCTGTAAGCATTTTTGAACGTACTCACAATGTAAGGTACATGCTGGGTATATGACTTTTAGTATCTTCTAAGAATATCGTGTTATAGCACGTGCTCAGTATATACTTTTTACAATATACCTTTAAGACAAGTACTCAGTATATACTTTTTAGGATATACTTTCAAAGCACGTTCTCAGTATATATTTTCTAGAGTATACTTTTAAAGTATATACTAGGTATGTTCTAAGAACATTCTAGAAAGGATATACCAAAAAAAAACATAAACAGAACGGTCTTAGTATAAACATAGAACATTGATGTTATGTGGGTTAATACAGTCGTCAATTGTGTTCTTTCCTTTTCCCATGTATGAATTTAAAAAAATTCTTAAAGACGAGATATTACTGCATATTAAAATAGTAGGTCTAGACTAGAAGTTAAATCAACTGTTCTCTAAGTCTATAGTATTTAATTATAATTTTTAGTCAAATTAGAAATACAGGTCTAACTTAGGTAGACTTACTATTGAAAATTGATATTTACTTTTAATAAAAACATCTTAAAAGTCCTATTGTGTATACAATAAAGTGTCAGATTTAATTTATTCTTAATATTTCTACAGTGTTTAAAAGTAAATTAAGAATAATGGCAAACTTATCAGAAAGAGAACGAATCCAGATACTAACGTTGATTGGATATGGTAATAGCAAACGTACCTATGAAGAAGTAAGTCACTCATATAAGTAGATCTACAGTTTCGAGAATTATGATTAAATTTAATGAAACCAGTAATCTACCGAATTGTCTATCACAGACTCGTTAATATTTGGATACCATTTTCCCCCAGAGATGGATTGATTGAAGAGGTGCAACTGAGTGGACTGCAAGATCCTCCTATTTGACTCTAGTTGATTTTTTGTGGGGCTATCTAAAAGAACACGTTTATGTAAACCAACGACTAATCCATTGATTCTTAATTAAGCCCCTTTTAATTGCAATCGTTCAGATTTATTATTAAGCAGACAGAGATGTTGCATCGGCTGTTGCATTAGAAAGAAGGGACGACAGCTGCAACTTTGAGTGGGGATAATTTGTGCGAATATATTTGTCTGAGGAGCCAGTATGCGTTTTATGAATAAAATGTTGAAATTAAAGAAAGGTATAGACAATACAACAATAAATTAAATAACTTAATAAAGAAAGCAAAACGAACATATTTTTCCCAACAAATTAATAACAATAAAAATACGTCTAAGGCTTTATGGGACTGTGTGAATAATATTTGTGAAAACAGAGACATAAAACAAAAATTGATGAAATAAAATTAAATGATGGAACAACAATGACTGATAAGGATGACATTGCTAATCACTTTAATGATTATTTCAGCACTATAGGTAAAGTGTATACCAGAAGCATGGAGAAGGGCCAGAGTCACCTTTATTCCAAAAGTAGGGAAAAAGGATACCACACATCCAAAATCTTTCCGTCCAATCAGCCTCACATCCTTTGTATTAAAAACAATGGAGAAGGCTGTTGATAACTATATCAGAACAGAAGTCCTGGAGAGGGTGCCACTCCACCACAGCCAACACGCGTACCGAGCAGGAAGATATACAGAAACTGCCCTGGTACAGTTGACTGATGTAATCCAGGATGCACTGACAAACAAAGAAACGGTCGTGTATGCCTTTCTAGACATAGAAGGAGCTTTTGACAACACGCCACACGAATCTGTAAAAAGAGCACTTGCATACAGAGGAGTAGATAACATCACATCCAGATGGATGGCTCAGCTGTTATCTTCGAGAACTGCAGAGACACAGATAGGGCAGGACACCATCTCCATCTGCACAACCAGAGGATGTCCACAAGGAGGAGTTCTATCCCCACTAATGTGGAGCCTAATCGTAGACGAACTTCTATGCAGATTGACTGACCTCGGCATACCCTGTCAAGGTTATGCCGACGACATAGTCATATTTGCTAGTGGCAAGTTTAGTAATATCCTGTGTGATATAGTCCAAAGAGGACTAGAACATACCAAAAGATGGTGCCGTGAAGTGGGACTTAGTATAAACCCTACAAAAACAACACTAGTAGCCTTTTCAAGGAAAAGAAAACTTAATCTCAAAACCGTTAAATTAGACGGGATAGATATAGAATGGAAAAATGAAGTCAAATATCTAGGCCTAACCCTGGACAACAAACTTCTCTGGAACACACATGAGAAGGAAGTAGTAAATAAGGCCACAAAAGCCCTAATGGTATGCAGAAACATGGCGGGTAAACGATGGGGATGTAACCCAAACATACTGCGATGGATGTATACTGCAATAGTGAGACCAATCATCACTTACGGGGCTATAGCCTGGAGTAACAGAACTAGTTTAGTTACTACGAGAGCTAATATCTCAAAAGTACAAAGACTAGCCTGTGTTTGCATTACTGGTGCAATGAGAACCTGTCCTGCGGCCGCAATGGAGGTGATCTTAAACCTCACCCCTCTACATTTGATGATAGAGAATGTGGAAAAAAGGACACGATATAGAATGATCAGGAGCGGAGTAATCAGACGAAAGTCTACTTGCTTCAGGACTAAAGATACCTGGGATATGCCCCAGGATGAAATGCAAAAGAAGTACAGTTTTGTGAAAAACTTCAAAACCACAGAGCTGGGCTGCAAGAAAGAATGGAGCCAAGAATCCATCGCGCTTGCAACCGAAAGACGTGCTATTCAGTGGTACACGGACGGTTCCAAAACCATAGAAGGAACTGGAATAGGAGTGTATGGGCCGAGAACCAAGCACTCCGAAAGCTTGGGAAAATACCCAAGCATCTTCCAGGCGGAAATTCACGCCATCGAGAAGTGTATCCAGTTTAACATCGTGAGAAACTATCATAGACAAGAGATTATCATCATGTCCGATAGTCAAGCAGCCATCAAAGCGCTGAGTTCTTACGTAATCAGCTCAAAAATGGTATGGAGATGCCTAGAACAATTGAATGAGCTAGGCGAGAAAAATAGAGTTACTCTCACTTGGGTCCGGGGCATAACAGGGTACAGGGTAACAAGATTGCAGATAGTCTTGCAAGGAAACACCCTTTGTAGGACCTGAGTCGTTCTGCGGTATCAGCAGTAACATAATATTAGAAGAGATTAAAAAAGAATTGGGTAGTAGAAGAACCGATAATTGGAACAATCTCTTGGGGCTGAGACAGGCCAAGATACTTCTAAGTGAATATAACCAAAAAAGATCGGAAGCCTGCATCTGCCTGAGCAAGAACAGGCTACGTATTGTAACAGGGATCCTTACCGGGCACTGCCGACTAAAAGGACACCTAAGTAAACTGAGAGTAGTAGAGGATAGTGAGTGCAGATTCTGTGAGGAGGAGGACGAAACCTCCATTTACATCCTAACTGAATGTGTAGCACTCCAGAATCCAAGGGCACTATATCTAGGAGGATATCAAATAGAAGGGGAGACTTACCTAACTTGAAGCCACTTCAAATCCTACACTTCCTTGAGAAAATAGGATTGGAAGGGTCGCTATAGGCATTGAGACATTTCCTTAGTGCAGTGGCGACAGAAGGGGGCACAATAGATCTTTTAGGTCGCAGTGTATTAACACCCCATTATCAACATAACATAAAGTGTTGGCCAATAGAATGCCATACTTACAAAATTATAAGGATAATTTAGACTTCATGGAAAACACTATGTATATGTCTCAAACTGGCCAGTTAGAAGTGGTAGAAATTATAAAGAATCTTAAAAACAAAAAATCGCCACGTATTGATCAAATAAGGGCAGAAACTATTAAGCAAATTGCTTTAGAAATTGTCCGTCCTTTAACTTTCTTAATAATTAAAGTACTGAGGTGTTCTGTGATAAAACCTCTGTACAAAAGTGGCAGTAAACTTGATATTGCAATTATAGACCAGTGTCTCTTTTGCCAAATTTTTCAAAGATTCTGGAAAAATAATTAAAAAGAGACTATGCAGTTTTCTAAATAAGTTCAAAATTCTATCGAATAATCAATATGGATTTAGAGAGGGGAAGATCTAGTGATGATGCTATCTATAAATTAACCTTAACCATATATGATGCGTTAGATAAAAAAACACCTATACTTAGTATATTTCTCGACCTATCAAAAGCCTTTGACACTGTCATAGAAAAATTGTTGGAAAAAATGGAAAAGTATGGAATTCGTGGAAAGGCATTCAGTATCTTTGAAAGTTATCTGTCAAATAGAGAACAGTTAGTGCAAATTGACAATGTTAATAGTAACAAACAGATCGTAACCTTTGGTGTCCCACAAGGTACTGTTTTAGGGCCTGTTCTTTTTACACTCTACATAAATAGCCTACTACACTTAGATACATCCGCTAAAATTATTAGTTTTGCTTGATACTTCTGTTCGGAACTCTTAATTTTCATGGAAGGACCTGAAAAATAAAGTAGAAAGTGATTTTACTAAAATATCTAAATGGCTACAGTTTAATAAATTAACATAAAATTATCAGAAAACTAGATACTTACCATTTTCTTTTTATACAACAGGCCTTCCCACATTGGGGCCATTAAATATAGGATTAAATAACCAAGTTTTTGAATCTACATCAATGTAATATTTAGGGATTATTGTGGACAGGCATATGAAATGGGACTTCCATTTAAAACTACTCATAAAAAAGTTAAGAGGGTTTTTACCAAAATTTAGATATCTATGTGACTTTCTAAACATACATTGCTGGAGGTCTCTTTATTTATACAATCCTTATTAGTATACGACATCATTGGTTGGGGAGGTGTGTATGATATATGGTATGATAGCACATTGACAAAAATTATCATATAATACAAAAATGGATTTTAAGAATTACAAAAAAAATATTTTATATCCTCGTAACGCACTTTACGATAATTCTAATTTATATGATATGAGACAGCTATACTTTTTACAAAGTCTATTATTTTTAAAAAAATCTAAAATTACCTTAAAACCTCATGACCATCCCTACTATACACGTCGACCTGAAGCTATTTTATTTCCGCGATCAGAAAAAAGTACCGGCCAAAGATGTAGTGATTACCTGGCTCCTAGAATCTTTATTTTGGTACCTCCAGAAATAAAGGACATTCGGTTGTACAGTAGATACAAAATTAGACCAAAAATCTGGCTTCAAAAAGAACGTAAATTAGCAAGTGATGTTATAAATCAGTCAAATCAGTCTTAAAAAATGTATTTGCCTAAATCTTTTTTCCTATTTCGACTATACACAATAATAATTCATTGAAGACTATCAGAATTATATAAAAAAAAACAATTTTTTTTATTTCTATATTTCCATTTATATTTTAATTATTATTTGTACATAATTTATATATCTATTTTACAGTTTTTTTCTAATAGTTTTTTTTCTAAATGTTTAAATGCTTTTTTAATGTTTAAATGTTTTAATGTTTAAATTCGTTTTTGTTCTTTCTTGTGTTTTATAGAGACATATACACAGACCCGTTTAATGATTCATGTACCTATATTTAATCATGTGTTATATGTGTACTTTATCATCACGTACAAGCAGTTTTAAACTGCTTCTGTGATTACCCCCTATTGTTTATTCTCTTTTTTTAATCGTATTTATATTGATTTATCATTATTTGAATAAACATTATTATTATCAGTATTTACGTCTACTACGCTTGCTTTACACTGCTATCAGCTATCACACTTCAAAATTAATTGCTTATTTTCTTAATAAACACCTTTGTATTCGCTTTTTTTTACTTACAAAAATTATAATACGCAAATCTTTCTAGGTGTCTGGATAGTGGGAAATATAGGCAGGGAGCAAGGCAAACCGTGGTTAACCATAGCCGTAACATATGCGACGTATACCTCACGATGGTACTTTTTCGACGAAAGCATCTGGTTGACATTGATGGTATTCTGCGCGGGACTGACGTTTGATTCTTTTTCCAAACATTGGCGCAGAACACCAAGAAAAAAGAGGTACACTATTTTTATTACAATATTATTTATTAATACGCTATATTAGCATGATTACTAATGTTTACTGCTCTAGATTCATGGACAATCCTCACTTGTTCTAGTGCAAAAAAATAAAAAAACAAAAATTTGTTTTCACTTTATGAATAAATGTTATAATTTATTTCTAAATTTCAATATATTTACATATTTTTTTATTTTTAAGGAATTTTGCCGCTAGAGTCTCAGTTCTACTAGTTTGTGCTATTTTATATTCAGCCCTTTGGAGTTCCTATTTCTATTTTAACGGCAAAATAACAGACTCAAATGGAGATGAAATTCCCATTCACGAAGCACTGCATCACTTCTTCACATCACCTTGGTGGACGGATCTAAAGCAGTCTTTGTATGACACGTATGTCTATGCTCAACACCACGGCTGGTACGTATACTACATTATCATATTGTCATTGTCAATCATATCTACGCTTGTCAGTAAAATGAATGCTCGTTCATATGAAATGTCAGGTGTCACTTGCCTGTACAGACTGTCATTTGTCTAATGTATTTAAATGTTTATAAAACGATTTAATAAAGCCATATTCTGACGGTCTTTTTGGTTTAAAAATATTTTCAACAACTAGTTTTAATACTACGTCACAGATTTTGAAAGCGCTCAAATAGATGATTTTAAAACAGTGATGTCACTGACAGATAACGACTTGAGAGTGTGTAAATCTCTAGCAACTAGAGATGGGTTGAGATTAAATTTTCGTGTCGCTGCGACAAACAGCGACTGTTCCGAAAAAGCTAGATCGCGACTTGTGACCTGTGTCACGTCCTGCTATTTTTTTAAATCGTTGCATTTTCTTTGAAGCAGTTTTAATGACTGTAATTTTTTGGCAATCTATGCTCTTTTGTGCAATATTTTTTTAAAAAGATAATAATAAATTTTATTTTTATAAAATAAAGTTTGAAGATTAAAAAACAGTCGATTACTTATTGCCGCCAAGATACATTCTTAAGGATTGTAGATTAAGGTGGCGCAAAAAACAGACAATTTTTTGAGTCTTCAAAGAGCAGCTCAAAAAAATTTTTAGAGGGCGCTCAAGATTTTTTTTATATACAAAATTATTGCTTCTGATGTTTTTGAGCGACCTTTAAATTTTAATATCAAGAATTAATTTCAATTTAATATTTTGAGCTAAAAATTTGAGATTTTTTCTTTTTAGGGCACAAAATTCTACCGTCATGAGCAAAAAAATTTGAAAAAACAATCCAATTTTGCCTAATTTTAAAATTTTTAAAAACCTTGGGCGACCCATAAAAAAATTTTTTAACTGCCTTTTGGAGGAGATCTTTTACCATATTTTCGCACAAGACTCAAAAAAAATAGTCGTTTTTTTGCGCCGCCCTATTGTAGATGTCTTATTTGTTTTACACAAATTTCAGCGACTGTGATTAGAAGCATATAATATAATAGCTTTCGTTCCGATCGCAGTTCCAGTTCACATCAGATAAATATGCGATGCGACATTTATTTTTATCAATAGTGCCTGAATGAAACCGTGCCTAAATCAAACCCAGCTCCAAAAAGTCGCATTGATTTTGAAAGAACCGGAGCGGTTCGCTCCAGCGACAGGAAAGTAGCGGCGACAAAATCGCTGACAGCGAAATCGCAACACATCTCTACTAGCAACAGATAATATTTTGCCTTTGTCAAAGAGAAGCTCATATATAATATTACCACAGTTTTATGAAAAATGGATCGGTATTTAGAATCCGACTTTAACCAGTTATTTAGAATTACAAGGTCAAGTTTTCAAAACTTATAAACCTTCATAATTATGCATTTTCAACTTTTTCTTATAACCATGAATATTCTTTTTTATCATTAATTTTATTATGTATGCTATGCTTTATGACGTTCGTTACTATTTTTGACATTAATGACATTTGTATTTCCTTGAACCGTTCTTAATAAAACGTTTCAAAAATAGATGTAGGTGGTTTAAACCTAATTCAACATGACGTCATTGTTTGGTTAGTCGAATGGGAATAGTTCAAACCGTTTTCAAACCGCATAAAATATATTTAAACCAGTTGACCGCTCGAATATGGCTTAATTATACAGGGTGACCGACGGGAACCTGACTTTTTTGAAATGAACAGTACACAGTTATTTTTCACGAAATATTTTATTTTAACACACAAAATTATTTGTCATGACATGCCATTTTAAGATAAATATCACTTGTGAAAAATTACGTCAGGTCCATCCTCCTGAATGCGGTTTTCCAGCCTTCGCCAAAAATCGGCAATCACACGAGTCATCAGTTCACCATCAATTGTAGCCACTTTTTCCCTGATTGCCTCTTTCAGTTCTGCCAATGTGCGGGGTCTGTGAGAGTATTACGTGATTTGAGATACCCCCACAGAAAAAAGTCACAAGTGCTCAAGTCAGGTGATCTCGGAGGACACGGGATGTCGCCAAAACGGGAAATTAAACGTTCTGGGAAGATGCTTCGAATCACTTGCATGGACACACCAGCAGTATATGCGGTGGCACCATCCTTTTGGAAAAAAATATTTTCCAAATCCAGTTGCAGCCTGCGCAGTTCGGGACGCAAGAAAGTGTTCAGCATCTGGCAGTAACGTTCGGCATTCACTGTAACAGTTGAACCATTCTCGTCCTCGAAAAAATAAGGACCAATGATGCCGAATGGAGTACTTGCGTACCAAATCGTTACACGCTCTGAATGCAGAGGCTTTTCGTGCACGATACGGGATTCTCAGAGGACCAGTACCGTACATTTTGTCTATTAAGTCCCCCATCCAAAGTGAAATGCGCCTCGTCACTCATGATAACGACTGCATTCTCATTGTCTTCCAAAAGTACTTGCATTAGAAAAGAAAACTCCTGCTGCTGCGCATAATCTCTTTCTTCAAGCTTCTGAACAAGACACATCTTGTAAGGGTGAAATTTTAGATCTTTCTGTAAAATTGTTCGCAGAGATTCACGGCTCATTCTTAGTTCGCACGCGTGTTTGCGTGCAGCGGCTCTCACACGCTCGATGTTATCTGGTGTTCCTGCTGTCTTAGTCGGATCTGGTGGCTTCTTTTTCACAATAGATCCTGTTGTCCGTAGATTATGAACCCAACTGAGAATCGTGTTGCGGTTTGAAACGATTCCACGACGCCCACGATTGAAACGCACACGAAAAAGTCGCTGCACGATAATAACAGACCCGCTATTCTGCACAAATGCGTCGTCATACGCAAACATCCGATGTTCAACCGTCCATCGCTCCATACCTACTGAAACGGCATCGAATGGCGAGGAGATTAATGGCTTGTAATTCGGCTCTCTATTCCTCTTACCGGCTGAGTACTAGCCATCTCAAAAACGTCAGGTGCCCGTCGGTCACCCTGTATATGAAATATGATTCCATCTCAATATTTTTTCTAGAAACTACAATAATACCTATATACACAACACTAATAATTCCAGATGGTATTTGTTGTGACTTTTGAATCTTGAAATTTAACGTTTGTATACTATGAAAGAAAAAATAATAAATTGCTGACTAAGATGAAATGAAGAAATGGTCATAACCACATGATTTTCTTAAAAAAAATCAATATCAATCTCACTTTAAACTTTATTATTGTTTAGGTACGAAATATGGAAACAAATAATAGATCTGTCGGACCCCCAAGGAGAACAGAATGCTTACAAAATCCTGGGAGTCGGTCCATCTTCTAGTCAATCGGAAATCACTTCAAGATGGAGGGCGTTGAGTAGAGAATTCCATCCCGATAAAGTGAAGGACTCGGGAAGTCAGAGAGCAGCGCAAGAAAAATTCATGGAGATCCAACAAGCTTATGAAATACTGTCGAATATTAAGAGCAAACGAAGGAGAAAGAATAAAAAATCGATCGAAGATGATACGTAGAAGATTTATTAAATGATAGAATATATAGAATATCTTATAATATTTGTATAATAAAAATTATAAATGTCGATAATCATTTAAATTATGAACCTTTAAACTAAACTGTGTCACTTCATTTGAAAGTTAATTTTATGTATCAGTTGTGACGACAAAGTATGATACGAAAAAATGAAAAGACAGAAAAGTTGTATTTTTAATTAGTTTATTTGAAAAGCTACGAAAAATTAAAAAAAAAACTACTGAGCCATATTTTCTGTAACGAAAACTAATCGAAGTGTCCTGCGTGCGCACGTCTCTGGGATCACTGGATCACTTGTAACATGTCCGAAAGATACCTAATAAAATCGTTAACAAACTGTAAAAAGTTCGTTAAAATATTTGAAATTTGTTTTAGATATTAATAAAAAACTATTTAAAAAAATAACGTTCTAACGTTCTGTACCATGATAAAAATAATATCATCTAACAAAGTTAACTATGAATGTCAAATACATCATTTGTCATGTCAACTGTCATGTTAATATGTCACATTACCTATTTCGTCACCTGTCAATCATCTATCACATCATATTAAACTTTTCGAATGTTCCCCGTATATTGGGTGGCCCAGTTTATATCGTCAGGATTTCACCAGCTGATAGTTTATCGAAAAATAAACGTAGTTTGTTTAATTAAATGATCCACTTGTGCTTTCTTTTTGGTGTACAGGGTTTAAGTATTCATAGACGTGCAAATTGTTAGTTTTAATTTATTCCTCGAAAAAGTAATTTAAGAAAAAAAAGTTGTAATTTTAGTTACTTTATTCAAAAACATTATAAACAATTCAAGAAGTCTACTGGACTATATTTAGTGTGCCGAAAACCAGTGTCGGCTCGTGGTAAAAATTTTAGGGTGCAATTTTTGCAAAAAAGCTTACCTTTTTAGTCAAAGTCCTATCGATTTTATCGTGCTTGCTGAATGACGGATTGCTGGAATGAATGCCACACAAAAAAAAAAAGAAACACCAAGCACTATTTTACTGTTCTCTATTTTTTTCAAGAAAAATACAAAATGTTTAAGAAAATGACGTGAACAATTTAAACAGATAGTGCGATTTTACAGTTTATTTTTTATAAATTAAGTCTATATTACGTTATTTTTGGTTCGCAAATTTTGTAATAACTTTTTCATTAAAATTGTCTCTTTCAGAAGTAAACTTTTTTTCAATAGATAGCATGGAAAGAGCTGTTGAACGATCTTCGGTCATTGAATTTGTGAGAAACGTTTTGATTCGATTTAGTGTCGAGAAACATCGTTCGGCCTCTGATGTTGTCATAGGAGTTGTTACCACAATTTCTAATAATTTTTTAGTCTCCTTTAACTTTTTCCTCTACTTACATCAGTTTTTTCTATAAATAAATCTTTTAATGGCCTACCTTTTGTATTTAATTCCATCTTTTTTGTTTTTTATTACTTGGCAACTGTGTATTTTTTTTAATTAGAGATTTGAATATGATGATTTGAATATGACAACAGTTTTTTCGTTTTGATACTAATGGACTATTTCTGCGTGTACTGACAAATGCAACTTTTAATAGAATTCGTAATTAAAAAGTATACATGTTAGTTTTAATAAAAGTATGGATTTGTAAAACAAGTAAAACATTAATTTATTATTATTATATATTTTTATCGCTTAAATTAAAGAAAATTATGTATAATCGATATAAATCAATAATAAAATATAGGCAGGCAACAGTATTTACTGGAAAATGTATGAGAAGTTGCCTAAGTCTAATAAGTTTTCATTGAAGAATTAGTCTATTCTGTCAAAATACAAAAATACCATTTAATAATAGCGTGAAGTTAAAATGTATAAAAAAAGGATCATTACTTATATTTTCATTTTTGTTCGAAAGAAAACATAGAATGAATGATTAAAACTAATTTCCCATCAGTAAGTTACAAAATTTGCTTTCCAACCACATATAATAATCAAAGGCAGAAATCTTGAAATCTAGTCCTTGCTGAATGAACATTTAAGAATAAGGGATATTAAAGAACATGGTAAAATGATAATTTATTGTTTATTTAAAACCTTTCAAGTTTCTGATATCCACTATTTGCAGCATTACGGTTATTATTACAAAAATAAAGGTAATTTTTCTTCTTATTGTATATCTATCCATTTATTTCCTTGATTTAATTTCCACTTTGCTTCTGAAATTTTTTATATAAGTTTCACTGTTTTTGTGTTTTTTGCTAGTATTTGTACAATTTTCAACACAGCAACTCCGGTTGCTTATTGTATTGTTTTTACCTACTTTTTTTGAAAAAAAGTAAAATGTATACGTGTATTTGATATGCCAAAATTACAAAATATCGCCCTAAAATGCACGAATTATCCGCAGCTAGCGCTACTATCGCTTTTGCTTCCCTTTCCATGACTTGCACGGAGCGAATAGGGAAATTAAATCATCTATAACTTGTTAACAACGCGTTTCCTAACCAGGAGATTTGAGTTTTTGTTTACCCGTTACCATGATAAGTATCCCTGTTTCTTCGTAACTAATTTCAGCTTAATTAAATCATCTATAACTTGACAACTATGCATTTTTTTACCAAATGATTTAGGTTTTTGTTTTGTCCTTACCATGACAAGTGTGACTATTGCAACAGTTTCCCCATAAATGATTTCCGCTATACTAAAGTTAAATTAAGGGTCGATCTTTTCAACCTCTGAGTAAAGTTACATGTAGCTTTACTTGACAAATTAACAAACAATAGCCCTATAGTATAATCAGCAAGTAGTTACTTTCAACTTTACTTTGAATTTTTGTTTAGTCTTTACCATGACAAGTGTGACTATTTCAACAGTTTCCCTATAACTGAGGTTTGACGTCAAAATGACGTCCAGCTCTCGTCATTATGTCACGGCATGGTGACGTCATTTTGTGACGTTACTGTAAGGTCAATTTGTGACGTTATTTTGACGTTAATTTATGCCATTACAGTGACGTCAATTGGTGACGTTACTGTAACGTCAATTTGTAAAGTTGCTGTGACGTCAATTTGTGACGTTACTGTGACGTCAATTTGTAAAGTTGTTGTGACGTCAGTTTGTGACGTTACTGTGACGTCAATTTGTAGAGTTGCTGTGACGTCAATTTGTGACGTTACTGTGATGAAATTTTGTGAAGGTAATGTGACGTCAATTTGTTAAGTAAATATGACGTCTATTTGTGACGTTACTAATACGGTGGCTCTGTAGGGATTATAGGAAATAATAATACTAATAAATAATAACAGCTTTTATTATAAATTTGTATAAAAAATCATTAAAACTAAACATGACTTCTGAAAAAAATGGGATGCAAATTTCGGCTGTCATTTGATAACGGAATTTAAGAACATTGTATATTTTATCAAACGGCACCTGTGCTAAGCACTATCCTGAGCAAAATGGTTAAAAACAAAATAATTTCTATTTAAAAATCACACAAGACATGACAGCGATAATTTTGTTTACCCTGAAAAATTTTTCCTTAAAAATAACATTCAAATATTTCTTGAGTACACCGTTAAAGGGAAACATTTTCTTCCCCTTAACATCGCACAAAAATAGTATATTACATTACGAGTGTGGAAAGTGACATTTTTCACACGAGTGGGAAATATTGTCGCACGAGGCGTAAGCCGAGTGCGACTATCACACGAGTGTGGAAAATCACTTTTCACACAAGTGATGTACAATATTTTTCCTACGACCACAAAATAATTTCATCAAAAAATGTAAAACCAGATCATTATAATAATTAAAATGTATTTAAAAAAATAATCAACAATAATCGTATTTATTAAATTTTCATAATTTCTAAACAAATAAAAAAAAATAAAAAAAAAATAAAAAAAAAATAAAAAAAAAATTTTGGCACAGCCAGGATTCGATCGCGGTCGTTGGACGGTCTCAAATTGCAAAGTTGATGCTCTAACCAACTGAGCTAACAGGCCCTACGGTAGTTGATTGATCTAATCGCTTATGTGTTTAACCAGAATAAAAAGCAAATATATCTTAGTTATTTTAAAATTATTTTAAAAATAATTGTTAAAGATAAATATCTAGGATCTAATTTACAATAATTTAACAATCATATCGATTTTAGTATTAATATGGACATTACATAGATCAAAATAGAAATTATGTGTTTGACATTTTCTGACAGCTACTGCGGAAAGTAGCATATTCTCACTTGGGTGGAAAGTAAATTCTTATTCATACGCGTGTGATATAGGGCACTTTCCATAGGTCTATATAGTGTGATATGTGTCACTTTCCTAAGTGGTCGTAGGAAAAACATATATCCATACTTAATAAAAAGCATCAAAAATATGAATCAATTTTTGCTGGTTTGAAGATTTAATTGTATACTCATTGTTGTGATTCATTTTTACAGGTTGTCATAAAAACTACTATGAATATTCTTTAATCTAATTTTTTTGTCAACCGGTTAAAATTAATCACAACAATAAGCACACACAAAATTTTTAATTTAGTAAAAATTGATTCATATTTTTAATGATTTTTACCTATTAGTCACGGATAGATGTTTTTTGTGCAATGTTTCTCTTTAACGATGTACTCAATAAATATTTAAATATGTTATTTTGTGGAAAAGTTTCAGGGTAAACAATTATCGCTGTTATGTCTTATATGCTAGGTCACCCCCGCATTCATCGGAAAATTGAATGACTAAGTACATGACTAAAATATAAGAATTTGAATGCTCTAAAACAAATAATAAGAGGAATATATCACCTAATAATACTAAAACACAACGAAAGGCCCGCAAAACTTTGTCGTCCACCTTCCAAATTGAAAGTCATGAAACGAGACGCTGGCACTGAGCACTAATGGCGGCACTACTATGCACGATTCACGATTATAAGGCGAATGCGGGAGAGATAGCGTGGGTTTTTTGTTGTTTAGTTTTTCACATTAAAAGTGACCATCTGTCTTTAAAAATGTCACTATAGTGCTAAGAAAACACGAAGAAGCTAAACTGGAAAAAAATATTTTAAATTAAATATCTTAATGTTAATGCTGAACTTCAGATACACAGAAACGAAGAACGAAGACCGCCATTTCAATTTCAATGTTAACACTACCGAATCGGCGCAAGTCCGAATCAAAAGTAAACCATAACCCAACTTTTTCTTCTTTTCTCTTCTTTGCTTTCTCTTAGTTAGCTGGCACCCAATCGGCGATCAGCAAACCTAATAAAAAAAATATACTATTTTCTCTTAAAGGGTGACAAAAAACTTGTTTTTTGTCACTCCGGAAAAATAAAATCACCAAGTTTGTTAACACTTTTATTCGAGTTAAAAATTATGACCATACTGTGACGTATATATGACGTAAAATAACGACGTGATACTGACGTTACATTTATGACGTCTTTGAAACGTCATTTTTAGGTGATGTGACGTCAGGGACTAATTATCACCAAAAAATGACGTCTCTGTAACGTCAGTGTGCTGCCTGGGTAAAGTTAAATTAAATCATATAACTTGGCAACGACGCGTTTCTTCACCACGGTATTTGAATTTTTGTTAAGTCGTTCCCATGAGAAACGTTCCCATGGCAACAGTTTCTCCACAACTGATTTCAACCAAACTAAAGTTAAAATTAAATTATCTATAACTTAGCAAATACACATTTTCTCACCACGGAATTTGGGTTTTTGTTTAGTCGTTAAAATGACAAGCGTGGGGGGATAATTTATATCAGAACCCATCAGCAAAAGAACTTTCAGAGTTAATACAGACGGTTTTCAACAAATCCTGTGTTTTGTCACATTCACTATGATATAACTAGGAACCGACATATGCTTGAGAGAAGTCATAATAAAAACAAATGTTCTCCTTATCTTTCATTTGGCATATATCCTACTCCTATTGGGGTGGGGTAAAACTGTCCAAATAAATTATTACAAAACATCTCAATATATTTTATTGAAATTATGGTTCATTTTTGTTTTTATTAATATTTTTTTATACGTTGCTTCAGGTAGATTATGCGACTTCAAAAGATGAGTATTTGATATAAATTTAGCTGAGAATAATAATAAAAGGGTCACATTTTTGTTTTTTGATTGCGGCATTATTTAAGTAAGAAGTGCTATAAATCTATAATCTATAAATCTTTTTATTATGCAGGGTATTTAGAAAATCTGTGGTAGGTTATATACTTCAAATTTACATTTTTGCAATATACTCTGTTTTCTTCACTTTTTAATATCTCATTTTTATTAAGATTTCTTTTTTAATCAATAAAACTACAATTTCCTTTTCTTCCTGGCAGAACCACCAGTTTATAAAACTATTTTTCTACTTCGAGGCAGCATCGGTTGCATTTTAGTATTATTAATTAAATACAACTATTAAATTATAAAATCTAAGAAAAATTATAATTTTATGATATAAATAAATTAAGAAGTACGTCGTATATCTTCAACTGGAAACCAGATACTTCTTCTTTTTTACCTATATAAAACATCAGAAACACCTGTGACTTACAGTGTTATCAGCTCTAAAATACGCAATTTATCTCAAAGTCATAGCGATATCAAAACTAATTACCAATATTGCTATAACGGTTAAAACAGAACACGAATTTAAACGACCATATTGCTTTATAGTAAGTTTAAACAGAATTGACCCGATGGTATTATTATTTAATTTTCGTTAAAAAAAAACAACTAATAAAAATTGAATTACATTTATTTACAATTATCTGTATTAATAACTTAACCTAATTGATAATACGTTTAACACCCCATAATAGTCCCATCAGGATTCGTCTTGGCTTTGGGAAAGCACAACTTTCTTCCCGCATTAAAAACGCACTGGTTAGTAAAAATTCCGCACGTAGACGATTGCGTGTAATACACACTGGGCGTTTTCTTCCCCGTATACAAATTCCTCGATCCCGTTTCAGATTTGGTCATCGATACGAAGTTAGGCATGATTTTTCCGCTCTTTAGCTGGTAACGAATTGGCGAGTAAGCTGGTTGATATGTATACCCAGATCCATATCCATATTGTCCACTATTCGAGTGGGTGTGTGATGTAACAGCATAAAAGGGTTTTTTATATATGATCTTTCCAGTACCGGGAGATAATGTGACACTTTGCGCTTGGGAATTCTTACCAATAGCGTACGTATTAGGACCATTGGCTATCGATTTTACTGTACCTCTAAAGCCCATAGGTACTTTGTATCCTTGACTGCCTAAATAAAAAAAAAAAAAAAAGAATTAAACACCCAGTTATTTTATTGAGTCATCTAGAGGCACCTCTCGGCAATGTTATCAACGAACAGTCTTTTTAGCAAGCTGAGAGGTAGTCCCTATATGCTCTATTAGCCAATAGTTTTATTATTAACCTATTCATACCTGGTATAGTCTGTCCAGGTTGAATAACAGTACCCTCTCTAGGAAAATCCCCTTTACTTTGATGCACCGTAATATCCAGATCTTCCAGTGGATCCAGAACGATATGCTGCCTTTGATTTCGATCAGATTGCGTCACTATTTGCCTCGTATTTACATTTGGTTGTTTAACAACTGTTGAGCTTGGTTTTTCCGTACTTTCATCGTAATCATCTCCTTCTTCCATGTAATCAGCTTCCTCATCATATTCTTCTTTCGAGTCATACTTGCTAGTCGCTTTCGGTAGCATGTGGTGCTGCAGCCTTTTCGAAGCTGGCGATTTTATTGTTGTTGTTGGCAACTCATCGACTTCTAAATCTGCGGCTGGATAATTTGACGCCAATTTCCTAGAAACTGACGCACGTTCGGCTTGGCTTTGAGTAATTTTATCTTTAGCTATGTTAAAGTTTATTGCTGTCGGTTTGAAGGGTCCTGCTCTAGTATAATTTTGTCCAAAACTCGCTCCCCCTGAAGCTGCTTGTGCTGCGCCCGTATATTTAACTCCGTACTTGAATTTACCTAAAAAAGTCAGAAGCTTAGACCTATAGGTAGGAATACATCAAAAGTAATATTACCTTGAACTTGTGATTGCGACATTCCCGCAACAGATCCACTTTGAGCTCCAGCTGTACCTCCTCCTCTAAATGGCCCAGTTTGATTATCTGCATCGTTTTCATCATAAGGTAAGAAACCGATTTGCGCTTGAGAAGAAGTATTTCCTGGTCCATTGGACTGCGCATCAGCTAATCCTCCTTTTTCTGATGCCTGAACTTGCGATTGTGTTCCATGCGTCGTACCACCGCTCTGCGAAGATGCTATCGTTTGTCCGGTTTCGGAAGATAATACCACTTGTGCCTGCGTTTGTCCAGATCCTCCGCGACCTTGTGCCGAGCTTTGAGCGCCATCTTTACCACCCTCTACTTGAGTTTGGGCGCCACGTTTTCCATCATCAGAACCGGCTGAAGCGCTAAATGATCCGGATCCAGTATAGGTTCCTGATACTTGAGATTGTGCCGTTCCTCCGAGGTAGGTTCCTTGCGCCTGAGCTTGTGCTGTTGTACCATTTTCGGATTGATGCGCTGATGTTTGTACTTGGGAATCCGCGTCGTCTCGTTCTGTATATCGGCCGTCTACATACTGACCGACTTGTCCTGATCCATAACCTCCTATTTGTCCTGATGTACCACCTCCAATTTGTCCTGGAACACCTCCAATTTGTCCTGGAATACTTCCAATTTGTCCTGGACCACCTCCAATTTGTTCTGTTCCACCTCCTATTTGTCCTGGACCTCCAACTTGTCCTGGCCCTCCAACTTGTCCCGGCCATCCTCCAGTTTGCCTCTGACCTCCTACTTGACCTGGCCAACCGCCTGATTGTCCTGGACCTCCAGCTTGTCCTGGCCATCCACCTGTTTGCCCAGTGCCTCCTATTTGTCCTTGCCCTCCTACTTGTCCGGGACCTCCAATTTGCCCTGTACCTCCCGCTTGTCCTGGCCATCCCCCTGTTTGTCTAGAACCTGTTTGTCCAGGACCTGCTGTTTGTCCTTGACCTCCTACTTGCCCCGTACCTCCTGATTGACCTGGCCAGCCTCCTGTTTGTCCGGGGCCTCCAGCTTGTCCTTCACCTCCTATTTGTCCAGGCCATCCTCCAGTTTGTCCGGGACCTCCTATTTGCCCCAGGCCACCTACTTGTCCAGGCCATCCTCCAGTTTGTCCAGGAATTCTATTTTGGTCTGGACCTCCTATTTGTCCAGGATATTGTCCAGTTTCTCCAGGACCTCTTACTTGTCCTGGCCATCCTCCAGTTTGTCCAGGACCTCCTACTTGTTCTGTACCTTCTACTTGTCCTGGACGCACTATTTGTCCTGGACGCACTATTTGCCCTGGTCGTCCGTCTACTTGTCCTGGACCTCCTGTTTGTTCTGGCCATCCTCCAGTTTGTCCAGCACTTCCTTCTTGCCCTGGCCATCCTCCTGTTTGTCTAGGACCTCCTACTTGTCCTGGCCATCCTTCAGTTTGTCCAGGCCATCCTCCAGTTTGTACAGGACCTCCTACTTGTCCTGGCCATCCTCCTGTTTGTCCTGGACCTCCTACTTGTCCTGCACCTCCAATTTGTCCGGAATCTCCCACATGTCCTGGACCCATTGTTTGTTCTGGCCGCCCACCTACTTGTCCTGGACCTCCAACTTGTGCTGGCCATCCACCAACTTGCCCTGGTCCCCCTCTAGGACCGTAAGCTTCGTATTCACCGGAAAATTGACCTTGAAAACGGCCGTAATTACCTTGTTGATTTTGAAAATCTCCACTTAATTTCCCTCCGAATCTTCCTCCTCCAGTTTGTCCTGATCCATCTCCCGTTTGACTTTGCCAACCTCCAGTTTGTTCTGATCCTCCCCCGATTTGACCAGGCCAACTTCCTGTTTGGTCGGGTCTTCCACCAGTTTGAAAAGGCCATCCTCCAGTTTGGGGAGGTCCTCCTCCTCTTTGATCAGGCCATACTACCGTTTGTTCAGGACCACCTATTTGCCCGGGTCTTCCTGTTTGCACAGGTCCTCCTGTTTGCCCAGGCCAACCTTCAGTTTGTCCAGGTGCTCCTATTTGACCAGGGCCTCCTATTTGTTCATGGCCCCCTATTTGTCCCGGGCCCCCTATTTGTCCAGGGCTCCCTATTTGTCCGGGTCCTCCGATTTGTCCATGCCCTCCGATTTGTCCAGGCCCTCCGATTTGTCCAGGCCCCCTTATTTGCCCGGTTCCTCCTATTTGTCCAGGTCCTGTCGCTCCTCCAGAACCTCCTCCTAGTCCAGGTCTTCCGATTTGTCCAGATCCACCTATTTGTCCAGGTCTTCCTATTTGTCCAGGTCTTCCTATTTGTCCAGGTGTTCTTATTTGTCCAGGTTCTCCTATTTGTCCAGGTCCTCCTATTTGTCCAGGTCCTCCTATTTGTCCAGGTCTTCCTATTTGTTCAGGTCTTCCTATTGGTCCAGGTCCTCCTATTTGTCCAGGTCCTCCTATTTGTCCAGGTCCTCCTATTTGTCCAGGTCCTCCTATTTGTCCAGGTCCTCCTATTTGTCCAGGTCCTCCTATTTGTCCAGGTCCTCCTATTGGTCCAGATGTTCCTATTTGTCCAGGTCCTCCTATTTGTCCAGGTCCTCCTATTTGTCCAGGTTGTCTAATTTGTCCAGTTCCTTCTATTTGCCCAGGCCATCCTCCAGTTTGTCCAGGTCGTCCACTTGTTTGCCCAGGTCTTGTTATTTGACCTGGCCAGCCTCCGACTCCTCCTTGTTCAGGCCATCCTCCAGTACCACCAACTTGACCAGGTTTTCCACCAACTTGTCCACTTCCTGTTTGCCCAAGTCTTCCACCAATTTGTTCACCTTGTCCAGGCCATCCTACAGGACCTACTTGCCCGGGTCTACCACTAACTTCTCCAGTTTGTCCTATAGTTCCTGGATACCCTGGTTGAAAAGGTTGTTGTACTATTGGTTCAGGATACTTTCCACTTGGGCGTCCTTGAATTTCAATGATCTGTTCTTGATCACGTCCTGCGCCAGGACAATCATCGCAGCCGAATGGGAGACTTTGACTTTGCGCTTGGCCCATTCCCGAATTTCCAGCTGAAAAGGAATTTATTTTTATTATGCTGTATGTATTGAACAAATAGAATATATGGACGTACTAACTACGGCTTTGGATCCTTCATAAGTTGATTCTGCTTCAGCTTTTCCGGGTTGATCAGCTTTCCCGAAGCTCAGATACTGCGATTGAGTTTGTCCTCTGACTCTGCCTTTAAAATAGTGACTATTTGGAGATCTCTTGTTTCTGCTTTTGTCAATAACGTTGGGTAAATCGTTTATGTATGTGTTGAAGTCGATGTCTGCTTGGTTTTTGATCAAGTAGGTGGGAAAACCTCTGCAGAACTCCGAGATACGTTCTCCTCCCAGTCGCCATATCTAAAAAAAAACGATTATTCAAGAAATGTAAGTTGCTTTTTAGAGTTAATTCACCTGACGTTTTGATAATAATTCATTATGGAGAAAGTCCTTTGATATACTATCTTTTCTTCCGTTTGCATTCCACTTAGCAATAATACTTTCGCCTCCATTGAGGTTTTCTAGTATACAGCGGGATTCTACGAGATCTTTGAAAGCTACTGTTCGCTGAAAAATACGATTATATCATACTTTTGGCCTAAAATAGTATTTTAGTATCCTACGTTGTTTCATTTTTTTTTAATTTAAACATTTTTAAGTTTAGACAATACGTTTGTCTTAATATGTGTAAAACTGGTTGTCTGACTATTAATGATATGTTTGAAGTCTATAAAATGATTCGTTCACAGTAAATATGCCTGTCTAACTTTGTATTATATAAAATAAATGTTAGATTATTGAAAGTGATGTTATTGCTTTAGATATTTTTATATTGTTAAGTCACTTACTGTTTGATAGTCATATAGGGTGCGAGATTTCATAGGAGTGTCTGTCGAAGTTGAATTGACATCTTGTTTGCTGATGAAGTTCTAGAAATAATAAAAAGTAGGTAATAAAATGTGCTACACTAAGCTTTAGTTTCACGCATTTGTAAAACAATATATACTGTTGGGACACTCTGTAGGAGCTCAATGACGTTTCTAATACGTTAGAATTAATTAAATTGTGTATACAAATTGAGATGATTGTAAACTAGAACATGACTGTTTCAGTGAACCGTCAACTAGGAACAAAAAACAACAATGTTGGCATTTGATAAGATATTTTTAGTACTAAATTTGAAAAGGCGGTTAAAATATTTCTAATCTACGCGGATAAAGGCATGATTTATATTTTAAAATCCACATTATATTTCTTCACATCAATGTGTTGTCTTTATCGACATTTAGGAATTTCGAATTAGAGAAATTACAAAATTTTATCGGAGTAATTAATAAGATAATTTGGGTCAGATTTAGATTCGAAATTTTTCGCTGATTTGGAGATTTTTGAACTCGATATTTTAGCGCCTATATTTAATTCTAATTTGTTTTTTTGGGCCATCGTTTGTTTATACTTTTTTGTTTTCAAAGATTTTTAGAACGGAAGTAAATTAGACATTTGTTTTCCTAATTCTGTTTCCTGGTTCTGTTTTTGTTTTCAAAACACTAAAAAACTAAATAAAAGTAAATATAAAGCATGACGCATGACCACAGTGGGAGCTTCAGATTTGTAGTTTCACTAATATAAAATAATTTTTCTGTTGTATAATGAAGAGAAATCGACATTTAATTAATTTATTAAAGGCTCAAAATAATTTTCATTGTCAATTAGGGAAATGTACAATGTTCAATGCCTGTACAATTTTTTATTGCAATTCCTCAATTGTGGTGGATTGGGTGTTATTACACTATTTATATTAGATTTATTAACTGCGCTAATCTTAAGGGAACGTCAATTATAATTGTAGAAGACTTAATTGAAGAAAAATATGCAGTGAACCAACAACTCCGTCTCCTAAAGAATTTGAATTTGTAGAAGAGACAGTTTTAATCTCTGAAATAGAATCAATAGAACCCACTACTACTACTACGGAAACAGAACCCTCTAATACTACGGAAACATAACCCTCTAATACTACGGAAACAGAAAAAGATAAGAAGAAAAATATAAAAGAATAATTCCTTTAAGATCTGACGGAGGAGTATAAGGAAATGGCAAATCAGTAAAACCTACTAGCAGGCCCGACTAGAGGGGAGGGGTAGCCGTGACTAATTCCCGGGGCCCGGGCTCAAATGGGGGCCCGGCAGCGCTATAAGGGGGGCCCGACAATAGGGTTTTCTGTTTCAGCATGAGAAATTCGACATAAGAAGAGAAAGGGTAGGTGATGTGATTGAATGTTAGAGGAAAAGGAGTTCGGGTGAGGAGCTTTTTTTTTTTAGAAGAAGATAAAGTAATTGAAGTAGGGAGACAATATTTTTCTGAGGACTTTTTTTTTTTAGAAAACGGTTAAGATTTTTTTTTTGTCACAAGGCCCGGTGTAGAGAATTGTCCCGGGGCCCGGCCTGGCTCTCGGCGGCCTGCCTACTAGTGTTAATAGTAAAAGTAATTAAAATCAACTTTCTAAATGAACCTCATCGTATAGCCAAATGTTTTGAGTTGTTATATAGTAAGATAAGATAATTTTTTTTGTAATAAATAGTAGCAGAGTTAAATTTTTATCGTTTTAATATAATTTTAAGGATTTTATACTTATAGTTTATAGATTCGAAAATTATATACATTAAATAGGTAGAAAATGAAGATTGGTCATTTAAATATTAGATCTGTCTTTACAGGCTTCAATGATTTTAAACATTTAAACAAAGTGATTTTGATGTGATTATGTTTCTTATTCAAACATGGCTGAAAAACGACGTAAGTTCTGATGTAATTCATATTCCAGGTTATAATTTCTTTCAGTTAGATTGATTAGGAAGGGGAGAGGTGTCGGTGAATATCTCAAGACAAATATTCAATGTCACATAATAAAATTTAATTTTGAATTAAGTAGTTTTTAAAACTTAATATAAAATCTCTAAATTTTACAATAGGTGCCTTATATAGACCACGCGACAGAAATGTTAATGCTTTGGTAAGTGATTGTGACAATATTTTTTCTTTCTTGTGTCCCTTATTTAATGTAACTATCTGTGTGTGCGATTTTAACTCAAATTTTTTTGACCTAAATAATCCTGTAACTCTTGTTTAGAGTCATACAATCTAAAACAAATTATTACTGAGCCAACTAGAATAACAGTACATACACGTAAACTTATTGATCCTATTTTCGATTCTTGTACAGAATTAGTATCTTCTTGTGAAACGTTACCATCTAACCATATATCTGACCATTCTATAACTTATTGTGAATTAAATGTTGTAAAACCAAAAATAAAGCTTAAATTACTTGATATAAGATCTTTTAAGAAACTTTAATCTAACTGAATTTATTGAAGATTTAGATTTGAAAGAAAGATTGACGTGTTTAATTAATTTATCTTATTAGTATTCGATGTTCATGCCCCTATAAGAACTTTAAAAGTAAGTAAGTCTAAAGCTCCCTGGCTGACCATAAACTTGAAATTTATTGTAAACAAAGGAATAAATCTCTTCAAAAATTTAAACAATCCAACTCAGCAGCTCACTGGGAAGATTATAAACAGATTCGTGATTTTGCTTTAAGTTGTATTCGTAGGGATAAAAAGGCGTATAAAGACATGCTAGCTAAAGATCACAAAAATCCAAAAAAGCTCTGGTCTACTTTAACCGATTTTAATGTAAAAATTGCAAAATCATGTGATTTCCCTAATAATTTAGCTAATCCCGAAAAAATTAATAATTACTTTTGTAAACTCTTACAGTGTGTATCTGGGGATTGTCTAAACCAAATTGACTTCTATAACAACAATATTAATGATTTAAAGGATTGTTTTACATTAAAACTTGCCAGATTAGAAGATGTAAGTAATATAATTAAGGAATTGCTGTCTAACGCTTACGGCGTTGATAATATATCGGCTTCAATGCTTAAACTTTGTACGCCTTTTATAATCAAATACATTACACACATTATTAACTGTTGCATCGAAAAAATATAGTTTCCATATTTGTGTCGGAGTGCCATTGACAGGCAACTACCTAAAAAATCTAATCCGCAAACATTTTCTGATCTTAGAATAATAAGTATCTTACAAACTCTATCCAATATATTCGAAATAGTATTATACAAAAAAATACGAGTATACGAATATGCTTGTAAGAGAGATATACTTCCTAATACTCGGTTTTAGGAAAGGCTATTCCACATCCACAGCACTAACGAGTGATATAATTGATGCTTATGATAAAGGAGACATTAGTCGTTTTCTTTTTACAACTAATCTGAGCTAACTTACATCGACTAAGCTGAGATGTACGTTCTTTTTATGATTGTAAGTCAGAATCTTTCTTCCCCCCTTACCGATGCTAAGGTGCACGGTACTTACGTCAACCATAAACCATCACAGAAAGTGAGTGTTCTGTGCATCATATGAACAAACATATCCCATGAATTCATTATTTTAGAGAGAATAAAAGACTATGATAACAGGGGGTGAGATTTGTAGTGTTGAATGTTGAAAAAATTATAAAATTTGATTAAAATATGGATTGTTTTTAAACGGATGACATGGGGCACGTCACCTGTCAACCAAAATTCGCGTTCTTTTTACAGTTAAGCTTAGATTAGCATCTAACTTTTAGTTAGTCAAGTATGCTTGTAAAAAGAAAACGACTATTACTGTACTTACACTTAGATTTTTCTAAGGTTGGTGGTATCAAAACTGAAATATGATTTTCATTATTTAGCAGTTGCGTTGATAAAATATTTAAGCAATAGGTCTCAATGTGTATGTTACAATAATACATTTTCGAATTTTATGAATATTTTATCTGGTGTTCCCCAAGGTAGCGTCCTGGAACCGCTCCTTTTCTTAATTTATACTTCTTGTAAGCCTACGCTGACGATATTCAATTATATTACCGTTTTAAAAACGATAATTCCTTAACTGCTTATCAACTTATTAATGAAGATCTTAAACTTATTAATGAACTTTCTTTCTAACATAATTTAAAACTAAATACATCGAAATCTTGGGTTCTGTTTTTTGGTTAAAAAAAACTTAAAAAAAACTTGTTAAAAATCAATTTAATATTAATAACACCAAGTTGCCAATTATTGAATCAGCTAGAAATTTAGGTATATAGTTAGATACAGATAAAAATTACCCGTTCAGTTTACCTTTCATTAAAATTACCTTATTCCAAGTAAGCATATTCTTAATCATAATCTACGGATAAAACTTAGTGAAACTCTCGTCTTGTCCAAACTAAACTACTGCGATTTTATCTATGGACCCTGCTTAGACTTGAACACTCAATATAGAATTCAGAAAATTCAAAATTCGTGCACTTAATTAATATTTAATCTTCGCAAATATGATCATGTTACTCTTAAAATACGAGAATTAAATTGGTTTAATATGAAGGAAAGCAGAACACTCCATTTAGGTAGATTAGATTAGGAGTTGGACGTTATTTGTCCTTGTCCACAGCGACCTTTTCAGATCTATTGTGGGACTTCGTTTGTTTTAGAGTATGTCGTCTAGCCTGGTCTTTTTTATTAGACTAAGTAGCTTTGACAGTGGCTCCCGTATGTAGTTGCATGCATTTGGCTGTTCTTCGCCCAATGTTAGAAACTTCATTCCAGCCATGCCTTCACATTAGCACAGGACGTGTAATGATGTTTCCTCTTCTTCACAGAACCTGCACAAAGTTGCTTCTTCTGCTGGATTTATGACACTCATGTGCCTTTTGAGGCGACAATGTCCAGTAAAAAGGCCTACTGTTATCCTAACGATTTGACGCTTTTGATTCAGTAGGTCTTTCGTGAACTTGGCCGATGGTTCTTTGATGAACTGTTTAGCCTGTCTCAGTCTTGGATAGTTGTTCCACCATTCCTGAGACTCTTTTTGCATCCATTGTTTATTGGATACCTTGCACAATGCCTTAGCAACTCCACAGAAGGGTTTGGGGCCTATCATGGCCTTATCTGAGCCTTCTCGGGCTAATTCGTCGGCCCTTTCGTTGCCCTCATATCCCTCATGGCCTGGAACCCAGGCTAAGGTCACCTTATTTTGACTACTTAGCTCTGTTAGGTCTTCTAGACAGTCTTTCACCAGTTGTGATTTGATTTCTGGTGAGAGAATTGCCTTTAGAGCTGCTTGGCTATCAGAGTATATGGCAATAGTTTTGTCTGATACTTGCTGATTTAATATTTCTTTTGCACATTGTTGTATGGCTATTAGCTCAGCCTGGAACACTGTTGCATATTTTCCTAAACTGCACTGCACTAGCACTGAATGCTAGTGAGTTGGCCTATTGCACTTGCCTGCGCAGTTTTGGTTACCCACGCCACTGCGTCATAGGTTATCATGGGTCTTATTACCCTAGTGTATAACCATATGGTCATTTTGGGGTTTGGACCCCAGTTTTTCCCACATATTCTTCTACAGCTTACTAGAGCTATTGTAGCTTTATGTGTGAGTTTTTTGAGATGTTGATTAGGTAACTAGTAAAATTCATGATCGTAACCTCCGCGACGTCACAACTTACACAATACCCCGTCATCGAACAGCCCTATTTAAAAGAAGTTTTTTATATAATTCTATTAAATTGTACAACTGTCTTTCTTTAGAATTAAAAAATTTTAATTTATTCAAAAAATACTTTAAAAAATATTACATTCAAAATTTTGTTTGAGCTTAGATTTAATTGACCTTTTTAGTTTTTAGTTGTTTACTTTTTATTTCATTTTTAATTCCTATTTTAAGCTTTATATAAAAAAAAATAAAAAAACAAAAATTAATTATTGGAGTTTTTGCTTTATTGAAAATACTTATATACATTCTTTTCCTCTAATAAAGATGATTTTTTATTATTATTATCTCGATAATAATCAATGTTTTATTAATACGATCGGACAGATCTGACAAAAATAACTACCAATGTGTTTGTGCTACTGTTTACTTGGTTTTTATACTGTCACCTTTTATTAATCTATCGATTTTAATTCACTCTAGTTTGTAGAGTCAATTAAACATGTTGAGTTTAATTGGCAAGTCTATTCATCTCACCCAAACTGGTCCATTTAAACCATAGTTGAACATATTGAACGTGAAAGAATTATACAATTGATGATTATTGGGTTTGGGGACAGAAAGAGACCTCTGAAAGAAGTTTCCAATTTGTTCAATGAAACATTTCCTGGCAAAAATTTGAGGAAACAGGAGGTGTGAAAAACAATCCCAGATCTGAACGGAAGACGACAGCTACTGATGAAGAAAATGCACTTCATATGGTTCTAAATATACAGGAAGAAACAAAAACTTTAGTTTCAAAGCTTGCGTTAGACAATAATATGAGCAAGAGATATGTAAAGAGGATTCTGAAAGTCAAAAAATTTCATCATATAAAATGCAATTACACCGACAATTGAATGAATATGACTCAGATAGGTGAATGCAATTCTGTCAGGAAATTATGGATGCAATTTATGGAAATATTATATTGACGAACAACATTGTTTTTTCCGACAAATCAGGATTTTATCTCAGTGGATTTGTAAATAAACATAATTTCCGGTATTGGTCTGATCATAATCCTCAATGGATGGAAGAAGATCACACCCAATACCCACAAAAGTTAAATATTTGGGCTAGTATATTTGGAGGAAGAATTACTGGACCATTCTTTATGAGAGGAACTCCAAACAGTGATCGTTATTTGCAACTTTTTCAAGACCAGATAATTTCAGAGTTAGTTCATTTGTTTACAAATCGTAGAAATCATTTAGAACTTTCTAAAGCAATTTGGTTTTATTTCGATGTTAAGTGAGGAAATACCTGAATACAATATTTCCACAGAGATTGGTGAGTCGAAGAGGACATATTGAGTGGCCGGCACGGTCACCGGATATATTCCCACTGGATTTTTTCTTTGCGGCAGCAATTTGAAATCAGTAGTTTATAAGGAACCTGTCACATTCGCCGGAAAAATTGGAAGACAAAATAAAAAATAACACTAAAGTTTATCAAAATGCTTTAAGATCATTTGTTGATAAACTAAGATATTGTCAGGCAGTTGGAGGCTTTACTTCTAACACTTACTTTAAAAATTTTATTTTTTATTAAATAAATGTTTATTTTCTATTTTAATATGAACTCAGAGACCCTCAAACCCTACAATGATAGATTAAAAAAAAAGATGTATCCAAAAAAAATATAAATATAGGGCGATTTAAAATTTTATCTGATGACGTCATAACTTAATAAATATGACAAATGATGAAAATCCCCAAGTGTCATTAAATAGTGTAAGTGTATAATATATACAAAAAACTTTATTGAGGTCAATTTTTAATACTATCCATAATTGAACCACAAATCAAGTGTTCCGTCAATTTTTCCCAACCCTGTACATCTTTAACATACCAATTTTTTTTAAATTATAAAACTTTTCCAGGATTCTGTATATTAGAAAATTGATACCTCAAAAAATATGTAGTAATTGTATCTGTATTAGGAAAGAGCTAGTAAAAAACATAAACATTCTTTGTAGGTAGTTTAAAAAAAAAAATTTCAAAAATTCATTAAATCTATAGAATAATACTGTTAATCGTTATTCCAACGTTTTAATTGAAAAACACTTAGATTTAAAATATATTTTATGATTAAACATAAACACCACGAGGTGAAACGTTTTGGCGCCACTATTTTTATTCAACCACTGCTAAATTAGTGTTAATTATCAATTATGTTATATATTAAATAAATAATCATCAATAAGAGTTCATCGGTCAAAGCGATGAGAAAGAGACAGCGCATAAATTGGAACATATTTACCTCTGATAATTCCAGCCGATAGATCGGAAAACAATGAAAAGTCACTAATAAAACACTGAAAAACTTCCCATCCATGTTGGACCACTCGCTAGGCGGTCTGTAGACAAATGCGGATTCTATTCCTGTTTACGAGTGACCCCTGACATGGTGTCCCCTGGACGATTATTATCATCGGCACAGTGTTAACATACTCGTATTTAATTTGTTTGTGTATACAAGATCTTGTTATATAAATTTTAATTGTAACGAATTTCGAAATTTTGTTATGGTTGTGGTTGGACGCCTTCGGTTGAATTTCAACGATTACGATTGGTAAAGCTAAATCTTCTAGATTCTAGACTATCTTTGACATCTTTTGTACCCAGTTACTAAAAGTTTACTTTTAACTAAACCGCTTTCTTGAAACAATGAGCTGTAACGACTGACATTAGCTGAAAAAATTTGTACACCATGATTCTTTAAATAATTCCCATTACAACTCCAAGGAATTTGACCTATTTCTTCTGGAATTCATCGTAAACTACCTTCCCCTCCTACAAAAAAAGTTAATAATTGATTTTATAACGCATATTAAAAATAGGAACAGTATTATATTGTGTGAACGTTCTTTGGGAGGGACCATTATGATCCCGAAGGACAAGTCACTTCGCTCCCCCCCCTAAGTGTAGTAAATACACATACTTTGATTACTATACGAGGCAAGAGAGAGGTCCGACACGCCCAACATAGGGCGCGGCCATTTTGAACCCTGTGACACAGTTTACAGCTTAAGAATCAGATCGCTCACTCTGCGTCGGCACTTTTGATCTCAATATTTCAGTTTATACACTGTGCAACTCGGATAATACAATATATGAAAACCGCCTATAATAAAACAGCAGTCTTTTGCGTATCCTAAATTTGTATCACTGGAGTGGATGTTATTTTGGAACTTCCAACTGGTACGAGTGAGCTAACTGGTTCTTTAGCAATAAACTGTGACTTCAAAAATAATATTCACTGACACTGACAGCAGCAAACAAAATATCAAGTGCGTTTTAATCATCCGCTTCTGCTTCCGGAATTGTCGGTTTAGTCGTTTTAACCTGTCAGATTAAAACAAGATAAAAATATAATATAAAGTAAACGAGAAGAAGAAGAAGAAGAAGAAATGTCAAGAAGAAGAAATGTCAAGACGAAAAAATGCCAAGAAGAAATGTCAAGAAGAAGAAGAAATGTCAAGAAGAAGAAAGTGCTTATTATTTAGAATTGATTTAGCAAAAATTTGTGACAAAAAAGTGTTTCATATCAATAAATAACAGTTTTTAAATTGTGAGATACTGTTATTTTATTGAATTTAATTTTTATTTAATTATATTGGTGCCGAACTATAATGTATGTATACAATAAACGAATGTATAGGAATAAAAAAAAACGTTAGAAACCTAAAAAGGCATATGGATGTTTTTCTCAAATTTTCAATAATGATTGTGGTCGAATTTCAACCACTGGGCGAACACTAGTATTAATACAATTTCAATAATGTATTATTATACTCAGGATTATCTTACACAAAACTTAAAACAGGTAATAGTCCAGTAAAGTTAAACATAAAAAGCAGGTCGTGCTTGAAAAAGTTCCGATCGTTCTGAATTTTTTATGTTAGGACCTAAACCAATATTAAAAAAACAGATTGCAAATTCAAAAGTGCTGTGCGAGCGGCAATGTATCAAAAAAACCATGAAATTTTAGGACTTTTTTCAGTTTTTACTCAATATCTCAGTGAGAGAAGGGTCTCACTCTGAATACTTTTAAAGAAGACTAAATTTGATAAAATTTGAGACTAGGGCGAGCTCTATATAGCCATTGATTCCCAAGATACAGTTCTTCGAAAATAGGCAATTTTTCCAAATGGTTACTTATTTTATGAAATATGTTTTAAAATACGCATTACACTCCAAATATTATATGAAATGATGTTATAGTAAATTTAATTCGCTTTTATTTAAGATCAGACTGGTACCTATATAGGCCTAGCTGTCTTCTCAGGGACTCACTCCTATACACACCACCATGGATCATGCACCTCCTGACATTCTGCGGAAAATTTCATGTAAATGCTAGCCATGCGGTGGCAAATTCTACATTAACGTAACGGATGTGGAGCTGCAATTCTCAGACGATGTAGATAACCCAAATATAGACTAGGTGCCTCTCCCAGCGCCCATCACAGCCATCGAGATACCATATTCGTGCTAGCCCAAGCTCGGGCCATCTAAGATAAAAAGAAAGGCATGATTTGGCAACCAAAACATAATACCTACATGATTTATATTAGTTTTCATTTTGTGTAAATGTAATTTGTCCTTATAGTAGGTACCATGTTGTTTGAAATACAAAAACCCAAAGAGGCTGGACGTCGACGCTCACCTCCAGCAAAAGAGACTGGACAACAAAGTCCAACTCCGGCGTAGAAGGCTGGACGTCAATGCTCCCCTCCTGCAACGCAGCCTGGACAACAAAGTTCAGCTCCTGCACAAGAGGCTGGGCAGCGACGCTCACCTCCAAAAAGGGAGGATGGACACAGTAGTTCACTTTCAACTAACAGGCCGCGGAGATTCAAGAGAATCTCTGGGTCTGAAGCAAAGAACCACAAAACTCAAAGAGGACTGGGATACTTATCGAGTCGGTGACGCAGCGATCTCACGCGCTTATATTCATTTAAAGGCAAGTTTGTGTTCAAAGACAAAGGGGCTTCGAATTCTACGTCAGGCCATGTGGATTTTTAAGCTATTGCATAGCTTTTATCGCGGGCTTTGGGTGGCAACCGAATCAAGAAATTTCGGAACACCGTAACGAAAATAAACCTAACACCCCCCACTCCGACCGGCACAGCAGCGCGACGTTAAAGTCATGGAATGTTATATCCGACCCTATTCGTATTAGTATGAAGCGAAGTTAAATATACGTCTGCGGACTGGAACATTTATGCAATACAAGAACTAGAAAAGTTTCTTATAAATTGGTATCACAAATGTTCCTGGCTGGCGTAAATATTATAGTTGGAGAGCTAGTAACACAAATTTCATTAAGTGTTTGATGCACTTTGAAATTTTGTAATTTGAAATCATTTGGATGGAAAAGCAGATATACTTGTGTTGGCTAGACCAACCCGGGATACCAGGTACTACGTATAATAGAAAGGGGTCATAAAATATAACCAAAAAAAGTGTTATTTACTATAGAAAGAGATTTTAAATTCATATTTCGGAGTATAATAAAAAAATGCATTTATTTAGATGACTTATGTTTAAACTTTTAATCTCTCAAGATTAAAAATTAATACAATTAAGTAATAATGATACTTTTATAGTTTTTAAATCATATATTTATGTGATTCCATTAAATTACAATATAGGTATCATTTGACATGATAAAATATTTCGTAAATTTTTGTAATAAATTGTTATATATTATTAAAAGCGATTCCAAACGTCTATCAATATGTGCTTGGTGGCGCAGAGCGTACATTAGTCGTAATTTGGATAGTGTGGATAGTGGTTCGAGCCCCGAAACTTTTAGTTTTTTTTTCTTAAAAAAAAAGGAAAAATATTATTGTTTTAAATATTATTGTTTTATTACTTTTTTACTTTTTTTACGTTTCTTACTTTTTACTTTCCTATCTGTATACAGATAAGGAAAGTATAGGAATCATAATTTTTTGACCTCCAGTTTTCGACGGATTTTTACATGTATTGTAAGATAATAAAATATTTTAAACAATATTAACTTCTCATTAGAAAAAAATTTGTTTATTTATCGGTCACCACTAG